TGGCTGACTGTGTGATTCAAATCCTGGATCTGGTGGATTGAAAAACACATTAGGTAAATATGCATGTACATCCAAAATCCAAAAAGGAGGGACATGGAGGAGAAGAAATTGGAGTGTGGCCATATCCCCTGAGGGATGCTTTCTCTCCCCACTTGTACCCTTTCCTTTCTGGGAGTGCATGTGCCCTCTGGTAAAATTAAAGGAGTTCAAAAAAAAAAAAACAACTTTTAGGCACTGGATTATGTCCACATTCAGATATCTCAGTTACCTTTATTTTACTGTATCTTACTCATTTAAAAAATGTCTGTGTTTTAAACTTAATAGAATGAATTTATTGAATGTTCACCTGGTGCCACCCACGAAACTCAGGATGACAAGATAAACAAAAGCTTCATTCCTGGTGGGGGGGTATTATGTAAAAGAGATAAGACAGTTGGGTAGTAGCTGAAACAATTATGTAAGAAGGTTGACTGCTGCTGTGTAGTTAGTTATAAAAGTTGGTGGGTTTATTTTAAGAGATTTCCTTGTGGGGAAAGGCGAACTGGAAAAAGAAAAAGCTTGGAAAATCCTTTGGACAACTTATGCAAAAGCTTGCACATGGATGTTTATGGCACTTTTATTCATACTTACCAAAATTTAGAAACAACCAAGATGTCCTTCAGTAGGTAAATGGATAAAGAAGCTGGAATTTTTCCAGACAATTCGGTGCCAAAAAGAAATGCGCTATCAAACCATGAAAGCACATAGAGGAAATGCACATTAAATGCATATTACTAAGTTAAAGAAGCCAATATAAAAAGCCTAAATATTGTATGATTCCAACTATGTAGCATTCTAGAAAAGGCAAAACTATGGAAACAATAGATTTAAAGGGATGAGTAGGGATGAGTAGGCAAAGCATAGGAGATTTTTAGGACAGTGGAACTATTCTGTATGAAATTATATTGCTAGGTATATTTCATTATACATTTGTCCAAACACATGGAATGAACACCGAGAGTGAGCCGAATGTGAACTGTGGACTGGGCACGATGATATGCCATGTAGGTTCTTCGACTGTAACAATGTGGCACTCTGGTGGGGAATGTTGATAGTAGGGGAAGCGATGCACTTTTCAGGGGAAGGGACATCCCTGTGCCTTCCTCTAGTTTTGCTGTGAACCTAAAACTGCTCTGAAAAAAATAAAGTCTTTAAAAAAATGTTTATGTGTGTTAAGAAGGGGATAAGTAATACACACACGCACACACACACACACACACACACACACACACACACACATACATATCCTTCATTGGAAACATGGAATGAGGGCCATGATCTTAGTTGTGGGAGTAAGTAAGCTAGCCACATAATAGAAAATGCAGAAATGTTGGTGTAAATTGGCATCCAGAGAGCAGAAAGGATATTAGAACAGAAATAAAGGAGTACAAGGAGAGTGTTAAAGGCTTGTAGAAGACTAAGTTCCCACGGCATTTATAATGGGAGCTTTTCGAAAGATTTCCATAAAGGATGTGATTTACATTATCCATAATAGATTATGGGTCACACTTCAGATATTTTAGTTAAAGAATTTATGGAAGACTAGATGGACAGGTTAGGGAAGCATTATGAAGGCTAAAAAGAAAAAGGGTTTCTTAGTGTCATTGCTTATGCTTTTAAATAGAAGTAGAATTACTGATTGTTTGACAAAATGTCACAGGTATATTTGCTACTCAGAGACCAAAATTGATTCTAGCCTGACAGGAATCATATGACAAAGCCAGGTCAAAAAACTAGTATAAAAACATGTATCACTTTCAAAGTTCAAGTACAAGCTTTGCTAGTGATTCTTTATTGTCAGGCTCTTAGCTAAACAACACAATTCAGGAAGACTCAAGAGCAAAGTGTCAAAAGTCACTTGCCTTCTGGGCAAGTCTCTTGAAGAGGTGTGTGAAAAGGTACTCTCACAAATTAGTTAAGGACATTTTTGTGCCTGTTGAGTTTAAATATTCTCTCTCTCTCCTCAAAAGGTTTTCAAAAGATTAGTTTCTGGTAAAATGGAGCTTCATTCATTGAACTAGACCAGCCAGTTTGGTAATTAGTCTTTTGGATTCTCATTGTTTATTGCCCTTTTAGAGGCATTATGCTTCATATAAAACAGCCATAGTTTCAGTTGGCATGTGAGCATTAAAACTATGAGAACATTGCCTTAGTAATAAAACATTTCCCTTTAACTTTAGCTTCATTTAATATGCAATAATGAAGTATTTTTATTTCTATAATGTGACTTAGAGTATCTTCTAAAAAATGTTTTCTGATAAGGAAAATGGTTGGTGGGGTAGCTTTTGTTCGCTCGTTTACCAGGGAGTTTTACAGCTATAAAATGTGTACACATGTTCCGTTACAAAAAGTCAGCTGCCACTTTGAGTTCCGTGATTCAGAAGCAGCTCTGTTCCCCACCCTCCGAGTTTTTAACAGTTAAGGTCATGTTCTAGTTCCTGTCCTGTTCTTGTGTCTACTCTTTTTTCAAAATATGCTTGTGACAAATCATAAGATCCAGGCTGTAGTTAAAACACTTCTCTCAGTGTGGATACATAGCTATGTACATTAGCATTAATGAATGAACTTAACTTTTAGGGAGAAATATTGGAGTTATTTTTTACCTTTTTCTCTTCTATCTCCATCTCTTCTATCTCTATCTCTGCTCTCTAAATAAGAATAAGCTGAAATTTTAAATGGGATAATTAATAATTTTAAAGGTCCTTATATTTGGCTTTAAATTGTAGAAAAAATTGTTAAGTTCAAATTTTGTTTTATATTAGTCACCAGGTTTTTAATATAGATTAATTAAAACTGCTGGCAATGGAGAACTCTTCTTTTCTTTTCACGGCATGACATCATTTCTGCAGAGACTGTTTCAATGAAACAGAACATTGAATCATTGAAGGCCTAGAATTCCTTTTTAAAGAGTTGTTAATATATGGCTCTTGGATTGATACATATACTCACTTTGGTTCCTGGAGAGCTCAGTGGAAGTAGGTAGAGTTACTGCTGGCATCTTAGAAGTCTTGCTCCAGTCTCAAGGAATGGAAGAACCTCTGCTTACTGCTTTTCCAAAGCCTATGAGAGTCATGATTCTGTGGGGGGGTGAGAGGTTAGACTGCTGTTTTTTAAAGGAATATCTGTAGTTCTGAGTCAGTTTTAGTTTATCACACTAGCTCCTGATTTATAGAGCACTAGAGTGTAGTAGACAATTAGCACATTCTCCTGTCGGTTCCTTAGAAATAAAACTTGTTTATTGTGCTCCACCATTTTTGTAAAGGTGGATGCAGATGGGCACATGGGGTATAAAGACTTAAAAATGTTGTCATAGTGGTTTTTATTTTATAACTTACCATGCTCATGGTATGCACTAAGTAAAGATTAGTCATTTAGACACCTCAACTTAATGTAGAATCTACTCCAAATTAGAAATATAATTCCTTAAACATAGAGAAATTTCAGTGCCATTTCCCCCATTTACTTGTGGCTCTAATTTGAAAGACAGTTAATGCAAGCAGAATTTTTGGGGGGTTGAAATCATAGGGCATGTACTCTCACTGGAGAGAGACACAGAGAGAGGGAAAGTGAGAGATCATTCCATAGGGGGAATGGCCATACCATGCCACACCACAATCCCTTCTCCTCCATTCTCCTCTTGGGATTTTGAGCAGGCAAGTGCACGCGCCTGGTGTGTTTCTCAGGCCGCCAGGTCCAGGACCCAAACTGCAGCTGGCCATATGGGAACCAGCACCTTAACTGCTATGGCATCTTCCGGCCCCCCATGCAAGCAGAATTTTAGTACCTTCACAATTCCTTTTCGAGGATTATCTTGAGTGCCCATTTTAATTTCAAAAGAGGTGGATGCAGATGGGCACATGGGGTATAAAGACTTAAAAATGTTGTCATAGTGGTTTTTATTTTATAACTTACCATGCTCATGGTATGCACTAAGTAAAGATTAGTCATTTAGACACCTCAACTTAATGTAGAATCTACTCCAAATTAGAAATATAATTCCTTAAACATAGAGAAATTTCAGTGCCATTTCCCCCATTTACTTGTGGCTCTAATTTGAAAGACAGTTAATGCAAGCAGAATTTTTGGGGGGTTGAAATCATAGGGCATGTACTCTCACTGGAGAGAGACACAGAGAGAGGGAAAGTGAGAGATCATTCCATAGGGGGAATGGCCATACCATGCCACACCACAATCCCTTCTCCTCCATTCTCCTCTTGGGATTTTGAGCAGGCAAGTGCACGCGCCTGGTGTGTTTCTCAGGCCGCCAGGTCCAGGACCCAAACTGCAGCTGGCCATATGGGAACCAGCACCTTAACTGCTATGGCATCTTCCGGCCCCCCATGCAAGCAGAATTTTAGTACCTTCACAATTCCTTTTCGAGGATTATCTTGAGTGCCCATTTTAATTTCAAAAGTGGATTTTTTTTGAACCACTTTAAAATTTGAAGGAAACTAACCCACATTTATTGAGTGCCTCCTTTGCCACCGGCTTTTGATATTTTTCATCATGTATAAAAACAATGAAATGTTCTTTATTACCTTCTGTTACTGATTCCCAAAGACCCGAATTCAAACCCACCAGTATGCCTGTATATGTACATAGGCAAAGTCTGGCGCTTCTGTTATGAGTCACATAGGACAATATTACTGCTAATTACATACGTATAAAAAGCAACCAAAAACAACGTAAATGAAAAACGTTTTCACATTTATGGAGCTAAAAAATGTGAAGATTGTTATGAGTTGGTATTAGAACATAATGGTATGAGGAAAGTACTTTGGATGGGACTTTGGAAGTTAGAATGACCTAGTAGTTAAATGTGAGAGAGAGTTTATTTTCCCACTTTCAAACTTTCTCTTTTTGAATATTGGTAAACATGCTGATTGATATTCAGCTCTGTTATTGAATATAAACCATCTATGAAAAAAATAAATTTAGTAACGGCCTTCTTTCACCTTCAGGTCGTCTAAACTATTCATATCCAGGATCCGATAGCTCTCTGCTTATTAATGGTAAGTGATAATTGATTTACCCTAGTGAAGTTCACAAAAATAAATTAGTACTAGGTGAGAAATGCAGTATTTGTGCTTCCACAAGGGGGAAATGACAGTTTATTCTGTAATGATAATTGCAAGTTTCTGTTAATCTATCAGCTATTTCAAGAAAACAGTTTTCCTCAAAACTGTGGGAGCAACTTAAGAAGAAAACAAAACAAAACAAACAAACAAAAACTTGAGAGCCAACTGATTCCCTGTCCTGAAATTGGTGACCATAAAAGTAAATGAGAATCCTTAATGACATGTGCAGACTGACTGTCTAGCACTAGCTTCTGTACAGTGAACTTTGAAATGTCAACATGGAAGCCATTTCCATGCAGCCGGAAAAATGTTCCAGGAGAATGGGGAAATAGATCAAACCAGAAAAAAGCAGCCTAAGACCATGGTGCTTGGCAGTGCAAAGGACAAAATCGCTCACAGTTTATACACGAAATATAAAGTTTTACTGCCTTCACAGTGTCTTTAGTAGATTCCCTTTACTAACATATTGTTGAATTCTCTTTCAGTGCATATATGCTTAAGCAGCTAAAGTTACAGGGAAGAGTGGGAACATCTAGTCATAGGAAGAATTAAAGAATTTTAAAGTGTCTCTTTCAGTATTATAATTTAAAATAACTGCGTGCGTACAGAGGTCTTGTTTACTTCTTTCTTGCTCATTTTACTCTGTTGAATGTGGATTTTACATTTCTGGGAGTCGATACTGCTTTCCATTTACCAAAGCTCATTTTCAGTCCTGTGAACTCTATGAGGTGTTCTTAAATAAGTAGCTGTATTCTCATCATTATTCAAACAAAAAATCTTCTATTCCTTTTCTATGGCTTGTTGTGAATGAAGAATTAAAAATTATTTTTTATGGGACTGGCCCAATGGCCTGGTGGCAAAGGGAGCTGAATCTCACCTGACTGACAGTGTGGTTTGAGTCCCAGACCTGGCAGCTTGAAAATCACACCAGGCGCCATCCGTACAAGCCCCATATCTTGAAAGGATGGAGAAATGGAGGAGAAAGGATTGTGGTATGACAGTGGCCCATGTGATCTCCCTTTCTCTCACTCTGTCTCTTAGGTAAAGTGATCAACTTTTCTTTGCTCTAATTTCTTCATGAAATTGTTCAGTTTGATTAGTTGCCTCTACGACTTCTCTTTGTTGAAATGAGAAAAATAAACTCTTTCTAAAAGTGGATTTTCTGGGGCCAGCAGGTGGTGTGGTGATTAAGGTGCTGGATACTCCCACATGGCTGGCCATGGTTTGAGTCCCAGACCTAGTGGCTTGCTTTCTCACTTTCCCTCTCTCTCAGTGTCTCTCTCTGGTCAAATTTAAATAAATGAATGAATAAATAAAATTGAAGTAAATAATTTTTTAAAGTGGGTTTTCCTTAAGACTAAATTCACTTTTTTTAGTCTATTCTGAGAGTACTTTTCATTTTTTCTCTATTAGTATCCTTTTGTTTACTAATAGGTTATTTTTACTGACCCTTACTTGGCAAAGAAAAAATAAAGTTAATTTCCCCCAAAATATATTTATGTTTTGAAATTTTCCTTACTGATCTTTCTTTTGGAAATAAGTGGGGTTTAAATTCTGAATAAATAAAAAAGTCAGAGTTATTTTCAACAGCTTATATTGGAATATCATTGGAATTTGCCTGTACAAAGATAGAAGGGGCTTACTCATCTATGGATTAAATTACTTACATATTTTTTTTCTGCATGCTCAGTCATCAGTTTTTGTACTATGCTATGACCTTCCTGTGCCACTCATGACTTTTTAAAGGCAGTGCCGGTATAATTCAACAAATAATCATTGATAATTGTGCTAAGAATGTTGTAATGCATCCTAGGGAATTATTGAATGAACTGCTGTGATTTTAGTTGTAAAGACCTTTTTCCTTTTTTTTTTTTGGAGAGGTTTTTGCTACAGGGCACGTGTGCTCACCAGACAGAGAGAAAGCGAGAAATCACCCCCCAAGGGGGATGGCTACACCGCAATCTCTTCTCTTCCATTCTCCTCTTGGGATCTTGGGCACACGGGTCCGGGACTCAAACTGCAGTCGACCACATGGGAGTTGAGCGATGCAGCCATTATGCTAACTGCTGGTCCCAGTTGTAAAGGCTTTTTTGAGGGACATTTTTGGGGGAAATTTTTTTGAGGGAACAATCTTGGACTTTCAATGTATTTTTTAAAAAAACAAGGCCAGATGGTAGCACTGCAGCTGTGCAACTGAGCCCACATGGGAATGTCCCTGTAGGGGTCCTGGGGCTGCCCTAAAGATACTGAGCATGCATATGCCTATGCCCCAGGCCATTAAGGCTGGTGGTGGATCACTGCATGAAGGCTCTATTGAGAACCCCTCTCTCTCTCTCTCTCTCTCTCTCTCTCACTGGAGAAAGAAAAAATATTGTTAAAAATGTGTAGCTATAGCTCAGAGTTTGGTAGGGCTACCATAACAAGCACACAGTGCTTATTTTCCCACAATGCTAGATGTTGAAAGTCTGAGCTCAAGATGTTGCCAGGGTCAATTTCTTCTGAGGCCTCTGCCCTTGGCTTTGTTACATGATTGTATCTTCACCTGGTTCTCTCTGCGCATGTTTTCTTACAAGAACGCCAGCCACATTGGATTAGGGCCTACCTCAAGGATCTCTTTAACCTAATTACTTCTTTAAAGACCCTATCTTCAAATACCACATATTCTAGGGTACCAGAGATCAGGAGTTCAGCATATGAATGGGGGGAAGAAGGGAACACGATTCAGCCTGTATTAGTGAACTTAATGTCATACAGTATGATCAGAATATCTTTTTAAAAAATATTTGTCTGAGGATGTAAACACTTGTTTACATATACACATATATACATGTGCCTGGTATGTCTTAAAGCTGTTCTGTCTAGGACTCAAACCATATGGTTGGCCATCTAGGATGTAGGTCCCTTAACCACTAGGCCATGGGACCAGCCCCAGAATATTTGTTTTATGTTTAGGAAAGGCAAGCTTGAAACTTAGTGTAGTCTAAGTAAAGTGAGAGGTAAAATAAAGGCCAGTTCTACCTCAAATTCCTCTGATGTGTCTTGATTTAGTTCTGAGATGAATATCAGATTAAAATGTTAATTTTTTCTTTTGCCCAGTTTGAAGCTTTTTTACTTTTTTCTTTTTTTTATTATTCATACATTAAATCGCTATACATCATTTAGATTATGAAGAGACTTTACCCAGCATGATATACATCTCAGTCCAGCCTAGTTGAGACTATTAAGTACATCGTTGTCAACAGATAATAAACCTTATCTGTGTCCCACAAGTGTCTTAATTCTCCATTTTCCCCTCAAATTTCCTTTTCTACG